CCTCATCATTGGCAGAAACGTGTTGTCGGACGTGTCCTCGTAGCCAAATCGCTTTCTTAGCGCCTGTTGTGGTGCTGACCCGTGGGTCAGGGCCGACCAACTCGCCAGGTGAGCTGTTATAACGTCCCGTTGCAGCTTGTACGTAAGACAGCGGAGTCCTGCCCCCAGAAGCTGCATCCGGGGCCCTTAGGTCCCTGCCGTATCCCTGCTTCACGCAGGAGGCTTGCTGAGTAGCAACGTACGGAGCCATGGTGCGCTAAAGCGAATGAGCAGTCGTGCAGGCAGGTGCTAGTTGAGCCGCGTTTAAGGGGGTGTATTTAGTAAGCCATGTGACCCTGCATATCACAGCAGGATTAGGCCAGGCAAGCGGACAGTGTTGCAGCCAGGTCGTATGGCCATGCCCCATGCCATACCCGGGTACAGGCATGGCTGCATGAGTTTGGCCTCCCAAAGAAACATGCTGACGCCGGAAACAGCTGCGTCATTATTTACCTGTATTGCATGCCGGGAATATCTTGAGGCGAATCTGACTGTCCTAATGCTCACTACACACACATCGAGTCCAGGGTTGGATCGCGGATAATCACCGCCGCGCTATGTTCACGCGCGTCACTGTCCCCCAACCGATCTACGCCTTACACGTTATACCCATGCCCAGGCCGCCGTCCAGGGCCATTATGCTCCCCCGAATCAAATTTTTGTCGAAGGTCCAAAGTTTAAAAGTATTGCCGTACGCCCAGGCATCGGCAGCGGGTACCCAAGTTTGTATCGCAACCTCAGCCGGTTGCGGTAAGGCCACAGGAGCGAGAGACGGAGCAACGTGATTCTTATTGATCCTGGATGTTGTTCCGCGTTTGTTTTTGATAGCCAATCTCTATGGCGTCGTGGGAAAGGTTGCAGGAAGCATTGCAACATGCGTCAAGGGCCCTAAGTTGCATAAATATTCCTCAGAATGTCTCAACACCCAGGGCCCTACAATACAAGCAGCGGAGACGTCTCACACGATGGCAGCAGAATGAGCTTAAAAGCGCCTTTGCCAAGCTTTGGTGTATCCCCTCCGACATAGAGAGGTTTAACGCTGCTTGCAACGATGTCAGGGATCGTTGGTCTTCGACGCAGCGGACCGTAACCGTTGAACCCTTACAAGAGTTGCTCAAGCTCGGCATTGTCACGCGCACGGAGCGTCTCCTAGTGGAATTATCGGAGAGACTGCAACACTGGGCCCCACAGCAGCAATCAGGCGGCGATGGGGTTGCAGCTGAACGAGGAGCGGGTCCGGACGCCTCCACCTCTGGCGCCTCCTCTACCAACCCGGTGACAGCAGGCCAGGTCGACGCCTTCCAGCTCATCCCCCTGTACCACACGCTCGCGTTAGCCCACGAGCTGCTGCACCTCCTAAATATCTCTGTTATGTTTGTGGTGGAAAAACCGTCCCCTTCCACGAGCACCGGGGTCGACGTTGCATGGTTGTACAAGCAGCTGTGCGGCGTCGCCATCGGGCGAGCCGTGGCCGCTGCCGTACGGTTCGTCCAATCGGAGGTCTGGCCGCTGTTTGCAGCGCAGCAACGTGCGGAGCGGCCGCCGGCAGAAACGGCAGCAGCAGCAGCAGCGGCGGCTGCATCCAACAGGAGGGGCCAGCAGGCGCGATCAGGCTCCAAGGGCCAGCAGGCCTCAGCTCAGTCGTCATCTTCGTCGCCACCCCTGTCACCCGCGGAAGCCGTGCTGACGGCCGCAGGGGAGTTCATGCGCCCGGCTGACTTGGCGTCACTGCTTTTGGAGCTTACGGGAGCGGCAAACCTCCTAATAAGCAGGGCGTCGGGCTTCGTACATCTCCTAGTCGAGCTTGAACATGTCACTTACGAATCCGAACCGCATCGGCTGCAGCACTTTCAGCAACATCGACAGTCGCAGCAGCTGTCACGTGTGCTGCAGCAAAGCAATGCCCTATCGGCGATCTGCAGTTCTTTGCTGACGGCACCGCCGCCTCGCCCGTACGTGGCTGCAGCCTCACCAGAACACAACCAAGACGTCCGTTCGTCAGCTGAGCTGCTGTATATGACCATAAGGGACATTTGCTCAGCCATGACCAACTTCTTTACCCTCCACTTCCCTTCCTTACCCAGTCCGCTGGGTGAACATGAGACGGCATCGTCTGGGTCGGACGTAAACGAGTGCGGCCCGTTGGAGGTCCTGGCAGCACCCGACGTGGTTCAGCTGCAGCGTGGCCTGCTGGAGCGGGTCATCAGCTGCGTGGGCGCCGGCGGGGATGGCCTGCTGGGGATTGGGGGCGATGGCGGGGACCCTGAGGCTGGCGGCAGCAGCAGCTGCAGCAGCTCCTGGCCGCTACTGGACTGCGCGTTCAAGCGCGATGGCAGCATTGGCCCTGTGACCCCCGCTATCAGGGGAGACGACAGGCTGGAACTCTCGATATTGGCAGCGGTTGGGCCGCTGTTTAAGATCTGGATGGCGCTAAGCTTGGCTCCTGGGCAGCTGCGCTCCGCGGCTCCCAGCCCTTCCGAGCGCGTGCGGCTTGCGCTGCGGCTTATGCGGGTGATACGCCGTCTGGTGTGCGGCAGCGGCAGCGGCGGGCAGGGCAGCGCGGAGGCGGGGCAGGGTGCGGCGCCCCTCAATAAACTGCTGCAGTGCTTGAGCAAGGTGATGGACGCCGTCTCCGAGGACCTCCGCTCCTGCGTGACCATGATCGAGGTCGATGTGGAAGCCGCGGCTGCACTTGACGCGCAAGAGGCGTGCGTCTGGGTGCTGTGGGTGGGGAACCGCTTGCTTACCATGATCGGCCAGCTGAGCGAGCATGCGATGGCAGGCTCTGTGTTGAGGTTATGCATGCAGCGGAGCGTACACTCCTTGCACGATGTCGCAGGTAGGTTAGGGTGCGGAGTAGGCTGCAAGGACGTGTACGCAGTGGTCGGTTGGCCTAGGTGAAGACACCGGTGCATGGCAGTAAAGTCTCCCTCCCAATGCGTCGCTCGGCGGCAGTACCTCCTGACGTTTACACCCTGTAGCTGTAGCTCCACTCAAACCTGCTGTACTATGACATTAGGGTGAAGGAAGGGAGTAAGCGCAACGCGGCACCCTGCCGTACAACCCTCCTACAGGCGCCCAGTTGGCGCCCGACGCAACTTGCAGCCTGGCGCTCCGTCTGTGCCGGGCACACCTGCTGCGCGTCTTTGACGCCCTGCTGAGCCGCGCTGCCCGCGAGGAAGAGGGGGGAGGCCCGGTAAACCCTCTTCCTGGCGTCACCATCATTTCCGTAGCTGAGATGCTGTCATTAGCACGCGACATGCTTCAACCGCTGCTGGCTGAGATGCCCGTGGAGGCCTGGGGCGGACAGCTGAGCGCAACGCGCAGCGCGGAAAGCACATGCGTGCAGCAGGGAGCTGGGGGCGCTGCTAGCGAGCCATGGGACGCTAGGCGGGAGCTCGGGTTCTTCATCACGGTCAGCAAGCTGGCGCTGCGGGAGGCCGCTGTGCTGGGCTGTGCGCCCAAGCCGACACCGGCATGTGGGTCTGCAGTTGTGGCGGCAGAAACAGTGGAGACCAGGCTATCGCAGCTGCTAGCTCTGACGTTGAACCCCGACGTTGGCCTGTTGGCGGTGTGGCAGCGCGCCTCGCCACACCTGCCGGCTTCCGCCGCCGCCGGCCTGACGGAGGTGCTGGCGGCCCGGGCGGCATGCGTGCTGGCGGCGCCGCTGCTGCTGCAGGCGGCGGCGGATATGTCAGGAGGGCTGCGGTACGGACTGCAGGCGGCCAAGCCGGTGCTGGGTTGTGTGAACGCCGTACTGCAAGCCCTGACGTCGCTGCACGGCAAGGTGCCGGCGGCGGCGCTGCTGGCGGCGCAACCACACCGGCTGCTGGCTGCGCTGGGGCTGCTGCTGGGTCGCGTGAGGGCTGCCGAGGGGAGGTCAACAGCCTACTCACCTTGCTTGCCAGGGATGTTAAACACTGGGGTGTCAGCGGAGGAAACGGAAGAAGTTGAAGCTAGAGCAGAACTGTTGGAAGGAGTGGCGACCTTGGTGGGAGCAAGTGATCGTTTCTGTGAGGAGTGCGTTACGCTGGCTAAGCAACTTCCTCGATGCTGGTGGAGGGAGTGGGTAACGGCGGCGATGGGGCGCGCACAGGAGAGGGGTTGGGAGGGCAGGCTGTGTCCCTGCGGGCGCATGGGCTGGCACTGCTGGGCTGGCCGGCGGAGGCGGCAGGTGTGACGGCGGCTGCTGGTGCGGCGTTGAGCAGCGCCGGTGCGATGCTGCTGGAGGGGCTCGCGGGCTGGGATACGGACGAGGCACGTGCGCTGCGGGCGATGTGGCGGGCGGCGGCCGCAGCGGATGATGGGGGCGCGCTGCCGGACTGGGTGGCACAGCGGCTGCGGAGTGAAGAAGCAGGGGGCAGGGAGGGGCTCAGCGGAGGCGTGCTGGCGGAGGTGGAGGCGGCGGTGGGTGATGGCAGCGGTGGCGAGGTGGGATGTGTGGAAGCAGCTGAGGCGGTGCTTCCGCCGCCTGTAGCCTCGCCGCCGGTGCTTCGTGTGGTGCGGATGTGCGGCAACCCGAGGTGCGGGAACTACAGCGGCGCATGCGAGGCTGGCTTGAGGCTGCGGAGATGCGCCGGCTGCCGTGCCGTACACTACTGCAGCGTGGGTTGCCAGAAGCAGCACTGGCAGGAGGGGGGCCACAAGCCGGAGTGCTTGGCGAGCCGGGGACTGGTGGCAGGAGGTGGGGGCTGCCTGGGGTAGCCATAGAGGTGCGGTTTGGCAGTGCTGCTGGTAGACAGGACACAGGTTGGAGTTGCAGTAAAGGAGGGGAACTTGCCAACTAGCCCATGCACCCTTGCATGCTGGCGGTACCCGAAAGCAGGGACGAAAGAGGCTAAAGGTCAATGTAGCTGACACCTCCGTGCGATCCAGTTCAGCTGGAGGGCGCACGTTGAGGAGATGACGGGGGATGGAGTACGTCATGATGCGCGGTTGTGTCGTGACCCATGGGACACGTGCCTTGCATGGTACCCGGCTGTATGCAGGTAGGAACGTGATGCTGTCTTACGGCGCGGTGCAAAGTCTGGGGTCCTGGTCCTTGTGGGTGCCTTACTTCGGGGCGCATGTGAACCGAATACGGTAGATCGGTGGTGGGCATCGGAGCAAGTGTATTCCAGGACCGCCTGGTAGCGTTACTAATCCCGCAGCACCGGCACCATCACTGATGGCTGCTAGCCAAAGACGATCCCTCCGATCTCATGAGCAGCGCAAACCACATTTAGCTCTGCAAGTTCCACAAAGCTCCCAATGCTCCTCCTTTCTACCAATGCTACTGCCTTGACGGCGCCCCTTCAGCCTCCTCCACCGCCTCCGGTCCCGGTCCTGCCAGCAGCCTCCGCACCACCCCCTGGTTCCCCTCACTGAACGCCGCCGCCAGCCGCTGCTGCAGCTCGAGCTCCGCTTTGAGGTGCTGCAGTTGCGCCACGGCGGAAGTGACCCGTGGGTCCTGTGTACATGCAGCATGGGTAGACATGTGAGTACGACAGAGCGGGGCCAAAAGGCGGTGCGGAGTATAGCCGGGCATCATACCCGTGGAGAAACGCTCTTGCAAGTTCCCCGCTCTACACGCGACGCGCCATCCGCCTGGCCACTCCCTGGGAAACGCGGCCCAAGCTCCCCTCCTCCTCCCTCCCCGCCAGCTCCCACCCCGTCCCGCCTCCGTCCCTCCCTCCTACCGTGTTCGCAAGCCCCTGCTGCGTCTTCAGCACCCGCACTGCGTCCGCCTGCCCCCGCACCGCCTCCCGCAGCGCCGCCAGCACCGCCTCGGGGGCCGGCTGGGAGCCGTACGGCACCTCGGGCACCAGCGGCCGCCCCTCCAGCAGCGCAGTTGACAGGCCCTGCTGCTGCTGCGGCTGCGGTTGCTGCTGCTGTTGGGGCTGCGGGGGTGCCGCGAGGGTCCCGCGCACCTCCCAGCGGTCAAATAGGATCGCGACACCCGCACAGCGACCTGTGGCGTGGGTAAGGCGCACATGTTCTGTGGCGGCGAAGCGTGTCGCAGGCGCGACTAGCTTACTGTCCCGCGATGGACGCACGTTCAGCCGCCTCACTGCTGCTACGCAAGCACTGTGCACTGGCTGCCCTCCAAACACAAGGATGCAGCGTCTTGAATCCGAAGCAGTCCCAAGCCCCGAATTGCAACCCCACACCGTGCGTCCCCTGCCTGTCCCCGCACCCTGCACCGTACCGTTGGGCGACATGAGCGGCAGCAGCAGCGCCTCCGGACAGGTGATGCTGCCCTGCACGGCCCCGCTGCCGCTTCCCTGCCGCGCTGCACCCGTCCGCAAGGTGAGGGGGCGCAGCTGCCCCGACCGCGGCGGCCCCTGCGCAGCCATCAGCTGGCGGCGGGCGGCAGCAGGCACACGCCGGTACAGCGGGAACACAACGGCAACATAGTTGCCTGTTATTGTCTTCACATGATGGGGGCTAGGAAGGAAGGAAGATGATGCGAACCACAGGGTTCGGTAGCACGACCTGTGCAGTTGTGCGCAGCAGGTGACCACGCCAGGATGTGTATCGGGGTTGCACAGCTGGCAGAGACATGCGTCCGGCCCCTCGGCGGGGCTAACGTACTACCCGAGCTGAGCAGCGTAGCGCGGTGGTGCCCCTGGCTCCCCCACCTGGCTCCCCCAGCGCCCCCTGTTGCATGCACACCTCTTTCCAACCCTTCCGCCGTTACCCCACCACAACCACCGGCACGGCCAGCGCCTCCTCCCTCCTCACCTCCTTCAGCACCGCCTCCAGACCCCGGCCCCCGTCCTCTTCCGCTGCAAACAGCGGCCAGCTGATGCTGCGAGGTACGTCACCCTGGCTGCCTCTGCTTCTGCTACCACCGCCACCGCCACCGCCGCTGCCGACATCACCACCGCTCTTGCAACCTTCCCCGCAGGCTTTTAGCGCCTCTGCTGCCGCACGGTTCATGTACTGCACTCGCATGCTGCTTCCCCCGCCGTTACGTCCTATGCCGCCACCGCTGCTGCTGCTGCTGCCTTCCCCGCTGCCGCTGCTACTACTGGTGGATGTATCGCTAGCGGTGGCCCGCATGTCAACGGCAGCTGACCTGCCGTCATCACGTAAAGATGGCTTACCGCTGCTGCTGCCGCCAACTCCTCCCTCCAACCGCCCTGCTGCTGCCTCCCCAATGCTGCCGAAGGGCGACTCAGCAGCAGAGACGGTGGAGGCAGGAGCGGAGGCACCGGCGGCAGGAGCGGAGCTGGGCGGCGCGGCCCCTACAGGCGCTACCAGCGGAGATGCTTGCACTGGCGGTGGCGGTGGCGGCGCCAGCAGCAGCACGCAGCAGGGCAGGGAGTCCAGCTGTGTGCTCAGGCTCAGCAGCTCTCCGGCTTCTAGCAGCGGCCTGGGCGGGAGATGAGCGGAGGGAGAGGGAGGAGAGGTGAGAGCGGCAGACAGGCGTGTGGGGTAGGGCTGTGGGTGTTGAGTGCCGGGTGGTGGATTGTGGTGGGGCTGGGGCAGCAGCAGTCCTGGTAGGCTGGTGCTCGTTGGTTGCGGGGCCGGCATCCCGGGCCCCATGCATTCGCAAGGTGCGAATGCGGCCAGTCAGTCGTACAGCGGGATCAACGCACACCTGCCGTACACTCGGCGGACGCATTCATGCAGCAGTATCAGCAGGCTTAAGCTCTGGTAGGCGGAGGGGTCGCACAGCACGGGCGCTGAAGTTGAGTGGGGGGCTGCCGTGGCTGCCAGGGCGGCAGGCACAACCGCTGCGGCTGCACGGAGCAACCCTCCTCGTTTGTGTGGAACGCCATTGCACGGAGCAGCCGCTTGCGTTAAACACGGACGGTTTGGGCACCAGCTGTTATACGAGCATGTCGACGCGGTACGATGGATGGTGGTCAAGCGTGGCGCACACGCGGCGATAGTCGGCAGCGCACTAGCAGCTGCTGGCACGCCGCAACCCGCCAAAGCGTTTGTTGCTGTGAGACCAAGGCGTCTCATACCTCGAGCGTCTCCCTACAGTAAGGCTGCGGTAATGGATGCCGATTGTGGTTCTCGGTGCAATTTTCATACAACCTGAAAAGTATTATTGTCAACTCAATTGCTCACAGTGCGAATTGAGCCCCTTGACATGCGCACCTGCCATCTGTGCCTCCGAAGCCACCAACGGGGTTGGCTAAAACTGCTATTCCTAGAACATTTGTTTTCGCCGTATTACAGGAACTTTCGACTAGACATAGACACTACTCCTGCTTCATTGAAAGGACGTTCCTGTTATGACTGCGTTGTTGCGCACCTGACAAGCCTTCATACCTTTCTTGCAGCCCATATAGTAATTATTGAAAAATGGGACACGATATGAATAAGCTGCGAGAGGTGGACGTCAATGGTGTGGCAAAGCGGCTCGTGCAGGTTAACGCGCCCTGCACTGCCGAGCTAGGAGCACTGATGGACTGCATGAAGGTACTGTGATTTGATTGCGCTCACGCTGCCTCCGTTGCTGTTGGACTTACCGCGATTGCATCCTGTCGTGCATCGGCGATGCTTGCAAATGCAGCGCGCCGGGCCCGAAGGAGACTCCGTTTGCGTAAAGGAGCGTGCCGCCTTGTCTGCTTGTGCGGGGCGGCAAGCCCGCATGCCCCAAAACACCGCCGCTGAGAAGCGTCAGCTGGTGCGGCAGCTGCAGGTGCGTTCCACAACATTGACCTTTCGCAACGGCGGAGGGAGCCGGTCGAGTGTGCGTCTGCCCGCATTCTTGGCTTGTGCGTGGGTTGAACGATGGTCTATCTGGCCCAGGCTCAGCCGTCGTGTAAGGTCCATGCACCCAAGCCGCAGTTCTGCGATATCCGCCCGCTGCGTGCTCTCGGTCCACCCACTTCTATGGAACTGGTCCATGCCTGCTTCTCCGCCAACGCACCTGCCTACCAGCTGACATGTGCCGCCCTCGGCTTCCCTTCCAGCTGCATTCCGTACAAAGCCCGCCCCTCGCCACACCACACCGCACGTTACAGCCCTCCACCCCTCCACGTTCCACCAACTCCCGCAGTCGCTCGTCACTTCCTGGAAGCGGTTCGGCTACTGAGCGGCACCGCTGGGCGGGGAGATGGAGTTGGTTAAGACCCAGAGAGGGCATGCCCCTAAAACCGACATGGGGCGCAAGGAAGCAATGAGGAGGAATGTGGAAGTCCCTTCCATGGGGTGTGGGATAAGGAGGAAGTAACCGGGAGGGAAGGGCTACCAGGAAATGCAGGAGGCAACTGAGGAGCCGAACGCGTTTGGGACCTGCACTGCCGTGTGCGGCCATTTGGGGCCGTTTGAGGAGGTTAGGTGTAGTTAGAGCCCAGGAAGGAGGGGTTTACAAGGTAAGCCAACCATGGCAACAGGCTCCCACTGCTGGCCGATTGTGGAAGGGGGGCCGAACGGGAGGAGCGAGCGCTTGTTAGGAGGTAGGTGGCAGCTGGCAGCTGGCCCCGCCTAGCTGCGTGTTGTCGAACAATAGTGGTCCGGCTATAACCGTGACCAGTCGCTCTCCGTCAGTGGCTTATGCTAGCCGGCTTTGCGCAACGCACAACAAGAGGTAGCTTACTGAGTCACGCGTGTTGCCGCGGTGGACGAATGCCGGGTCGGCGAGGTGGTGTTTAGCGGGTGTCATCACAGCACTAGGAGCTACGGGGCAGTGCCTGCGGTTTGCTAGGCATCCATGGCCGTAGGAGGGCTGGGTGCTGCGGTGCTGCGATGGGTGTAGCGGTGCTGTTGTTGTGGTGGTGGGCAGCGGGGCAGCCGGGCGGTGTTGGAGCTCGGAACTGCGCTGGACAGCCGCGAGGAGCGATGCTGCAGACATCGGGGTGTGTTTTGTGGAGGGGAGTTCACATCTGCTGAACCGAAGTGAGCGTTATTGGACGTGCTGGGAAAGCAGACGTTTTGCCGTTTTGTAAGCCGCCGCGCATTCCTGAACTCGCCGGTGGTGCTGGTTATGAGGAGGAGCCAACGGACGTGTGGGTGGTGGGTGTCGCACTGGGGTGTTCACTGGGATCGCCGCTTGACCGCGCGATTACGTGTTGGCGTCGCTTGCTGGCATGGATGACTTGGCTACGGGTGGGTGCTGGCTACGACTACGGGTGGGTGCTGGCTACGACGTTGTTTATGACGCTAAGTGTGCAGCTAAACACCCCTTGTACTGCAAACCCATGCAAAGCCAGCCGTCATGGTATATGTTAACAGCTATAATGTCAAGCTATTTCTATGATTCTCCATACGGTATCAGCAGTATTTTAGCACCGTACCCGTTACAAGCTGCCTACGTGAAGCAGCAGCAGCAGCTGTCGTACAATAACAGTCATCATCTTGGTCGGTGATGCGTGCGACAGGCCCCGCATGCTTTCACCCCTGCTGGAGCCCTCCACCCACACAGGACACGAACCACCCAGGCAAAGGCGTCCACCACCGCCCTACACTGCCTGCAGCCCCTCATCACGCCCTCCCTCCTCCCTGCATCGCACCGGTAACATCCTTGTCCCAAGCTCTCAACTCCCTACCCCTCTTTTCCCACCAACCCACCAACACCATCCACCCTACTCACTCCCCCCCCTCGTTGTTCCACTTATCCCCCCCCCTTACTTCCCCTGCTCCCCCTGCGGCTGCCCCTGCTGCGGCGCCGGCCCAATCACCGCGTCCAGCCACCCGTTCCCTAGGCTGCCCGAGGGGTCCAGCACGCCCCTGTACCGAGCCAGCGAGCGCAGCGCGGGTCCGAACCGCGCCGCCAGCCTCGGCCGCACCACCGCCGCCACCTCCTCCTCGCTGCGACCCGAGCCCGGGCCCGCCTCCAGCTTGGCCCAGTGCCAGGTGGCGTTGAAGCGCGGCATCAGCTTGGTCTCCACCAGCCGGGCGTACTCGCGGAAACTGGGGGAGGAGGAGGCAGGGCAGGGGGAAAAAAGGTGTGCGTTCGGACGGGGAGAGCTTGAAGTGGGAAGACATGGGAGGCAACATGAAGGAGGTTGCGTTGGTATGGCAGGATTTGTAGAATCTCAAACCTCGAACCTCTTCCCAGCTCTTCCCGCTCTTTTCCTAGCCCCCCCCCCGTTGCTACGTCCAGGAAGTACAGGGGTGGTACCCCCCCCTCCACCTGCCCCCCTGGTACCCCCCCCCCTGCAGCTCCCCCCTGCGCCACTCACGCCTGCGTGACCTTGTCCCGCTGCTGCTGCTCCTGCGGCAGGTACATGATGACGCCCACCCAGCAGTGCAGCGACTCGGGCGGCCCCGCAGCGGGGCTGAGCGGCGAGGAGCTGCCGGCGCTCCAGCGCACCTCGATGGGGGCGGGCGCGGGCAGGCGGGCCCTGCAGGGGGAGGGGGAGGGGGAGGGGAGGTACAGGAAGAGAAGTGAAGCAACGGTCTTTAATCCCATCGCGAATCATTGAGGAGGGGAGCAGGAGTTGCGGTGGCGTAGCATGTGAGGGCGTGTGAAGAGCTCTGAGCTGCATCGTCCCCTGTACCTCTTATGCATGCTTCCCTTACTCCCACAGTGCGCTATCCCCTCCCCCTCCCCGCCCCTCCCCTGCCCCTTCCCCCTCCTCCTCACTTCTCAATCTCCTTCATCAGCGCCTCCATGAACTCCATGTCCCGCGTCTTGGCGCCCCTCCGCAGTCCCTCCAGCGACCCCGCCACCGGGAACGCCACCTCCATCACCCACTGCTGCCCGCCGCAGTCGAACCCCAGCACCTCGTCGCTGTACCCCACCCGCACCCCCGCACTGCGACGCCAGTACTCCGCCTCCGCGCCGTTCACCGCCGCCACCCACCCCGCGTCCAGCGGACCCGGACCCGCAGCCAGCAGCGCGTCCCGGAGCTGCGGGGCGGTGAGGCCGGCGGGGTCGGAGGCGGGAAGCACGGAGGCGTAGAGGCGCCTGAGGGTGGGGGGGAGGGAGGGAAGGAGGGGGAGACAAGGGGATTAGGATGCTGATCGAAATGCCAAGGGAGGGCTATCCTGATGGGGGCTGAGCGGGTGCGGCCAGTACCGTGCCCAGGGAACTACCGGGCCCGGCTAGGGTGTGCCCTACCAGCAGCCGCATAACCCCGTCCCCAACCCCGCTTCAGCTTCCCTGCGCGCCTCACCCACTCCCCCCCCCCCCGCCCCCCTCACCTGAGCGCCTCCGTGCGCTCCTCCGGCGGGTGCGCGGGGCTGGCCGCCTGCTCCTTGGCCACCCGCAGCTGCTCGGCGCTGGACCCGGGGTTGGCCTGTACGACAACCACCGTGTCGGTGTACGGAATGTACAGGTACCTGCGGCAGCAGGGGGAGGAGGCGGGGGAAAAAACGAAATTCCAAAGTGTGGTATGATAATGATACAAGTAGGCAGGGGAGGAGGAGGAGGCGGGAGAGGAGGAGGAGAGGGGAGAGGAGGAGAGGGGACGCGTGAGGAGAGGGGAGCGTAGAAGGGGATGTAGGGTTAAGATGCTGGCCGTGTTGCTTTGGAGGTCCGCCTGGGCTCTTCACACCCCCTCGTCCTCGTCTCAACCTGGACTGTGCCGCCAACCGCGTTTGACTGCTACCGGTACCACCCATGTCCGCCGCCGTACAGTACCACCACGCCCCCCCCAACCCCCCGTCTGCTCACTTGATGTGTTTGTTCTCCTGCAGCCACTTCACGTGGTTGCGGCGCACCTCCGCGCGGGAGGCGGTGAAGGTGCGCTCGATCAGCTGGTGGCGGGGCACAACTCGCAGTGTGGCCTGGGGGGGAACACGGGGGGAAGGAGGGAGGGAATACAGGGGGGAGGGGCGGGGGCGGGTTCAGGGATGGAGGAGAACAGGGATGGGCCGGGATGAGAGACGAGGGGTTGCCAGGGGTAGCTTACGCGGTGCAGGTGTTCGTTTACCTGCAGGACTGGGGTCGCCCAGTATGCACCACCCTGCTCACACGTGGCTCCTCCTCTCGCCCCACCTCCAACACACCCCCATGGTCAAGCCCCTCCCGCCCCACCTGCGTCATGATGCCCAGCGAGCCCAGCCCCACACGAGCCAGCCTGTGCGTGTGGGGGGATGCGTGCGGAGGGAGGAGGAGGGTGAGGAGGAGCGAAGTCCGGGGTCAAGGGAGTGGCTCTATGAGCTACGGGCGCCTTCTCAGGACCATCAGCTGGCACCGCATCAGCTGTTACCGGTACCACGTGTCCCCCGTCGCGGCTAGCACCCCTCGCCCCGCCCCCCTGTCCCCTTGAACATGTAGCCAGCCGCCCCTCCCCGTTCCCCTTCCCCTCCCGCTCCCTTCCCCCCTCCCCCTTCCCCTCCCGCCCCCCCTCCCGCACCTGAACAGCTCCGGCTCCTCCTCCTCGCTCAGCGCAATGGTGCCCAGCCCCGGGGTGGCCAGCCGCATGGCCACCACCTGCTCGTCCACGGGGGGCAGCCGGGGACCCGTGCCGTGCGCACCCACCTGCGGGGCAGGGGGTGGGAGCGGGGGGCGGGGGGGGAGGGGGGGGGAGCAGGACCAGCAGGGGAGGGTTCAGCCAGGACAGGACAGGACAGGGCAGGACAGGGCAGGGTGTGAAGCCAGAGGTGCAGGGCTACATGGTTAGGACCCCCTGTGCTAGCCGGGGTGGCAGCAGCTGCAGCTCCCTGACAGCACAACCCGGCAGCAGCACCCCTGCTGCACCACCCCCCCTTCCCCCCCTCCCCCCCCTACCTGTGTGATGCCCCCGATCTGCTGCTCCCGGATGGACGCGTAGTTCTGCAGCGTGAGGCCGTGCGGGGCCAGCGCGTCAGCCACCTGCTGCACGCGGCACCCCGCCTGCACGGTAACCTGGGGGGGAGGGGGGCGGGAGGGAGGGAGGGAGGGAGGGAGGGAGGGGGAGGGAGGTAGGAGAGAGGGAAGAGGGCTGTTGTCACCTGCACCTCCAGTCGCAGCGAGCTACTAGTCGGGAGTTACAGACTGGGCGCACGGGGAGGGACCCTTTCCCCAACTACGTATCTGCGCCTTCCTCCGGGCGCTTCTCCCCCTCCTCCCTCCCTCCCCGCCCCCGTCGTGCATTCTGTTCTTTCGGTTAGATTATTTCGGGTCAGGTGGGATGGACCGGCTACCATGTTTGCACCCCATGGTGAAGCCTTGTCATACAGCTCGTCAGTTGCTTCGTCAGTGTCTCATCATATATATTGTTTTACCCCCGTCCTCCCCTCCCCTCCTCCCCTTCCCCCACCTGCATCTTCTCCCGGTCCACTCCGATGACCCGGTCCATGGCCCCCAGCGCCAGCACGCCCTCGTCACTCAGCGCCGCGCCGTTGGGGCTCAGGCCCGACCCGGCGGGTCGCAGCCGCTCGCCGCGCCTGGCCGCGATGCGCAGGAAGGCCTCCACCTCCGCCTCCGACTCGGGGTGGAAGAAGCGCCTGGGGAGGAGGGGGGGGGCAGGGAATCCTCAAATGACAGGTGCAGGGGTCAGGGGTGCGGTGGGTGGGATGGAGCGAGCAGCAGTAGCAGGACGCGGTACGGCAGCAGTGATGAACAAGAGACGCGGGTGCAGGTGCGTGGGTTGTGTACGTAGGGACACAGCGCGTGGAGAGCTGAAACCCCACTGCATGCGTGTGCGTGTTCTTGGCTGCGCATGCAGGGCTGGGGAAGGACACACCGGTGGAAGGAGCCCGAGCCCGAGTCGGGGGCGCGGGAGCTGGCAGGCAGCCCCATACGCCGTACCCGTCGCGAGCAGTACTTCTCCCATCATCGGAACTGCCGGCTCCCGGCCCCTATCGCCCCTAAACCCCCATCCCCCTGTGCCTCCAACCCCCCCTGCACCCCGGCCACCATCGCCCCCCCCTGCACCCCGCCTTCCTCCCTCCTCACTTGGGTGTCTGCTGGTGCGTGCCGCTCCAGTTGGTGAGCGGGTCGGTGTTGGGGGTCTGCTGGGCCGCCAGGTACTGCAGCTCGGGGGGGAACCTCTTGCCTACCAGGTCGTCCTGGGGGAGGCCGGCGGGGAGGGGGCGAGGTAAGGAGGCGGAAACCGAGGAGAGGGAGAGGGGGGCCCAGTCACCCGCATGCACCCACCTGGTCCGGGTGCGTGTAGGCGTACCACATCATGCCCACGCCGCTGACGGGAAGGAAGAAGCGGAAGAAGGTGGCGGCGGCGCGGCGGCCGGGGGACAGCTCCGGCCGGCCGAAGCCGGGTGGCAGCGGCCCGCCGCCGCCCTCCTGCGGGAAGGAAGGCGGGGAGCCGCCTGTGCGACCTGGGAGAGGGGAGGGAGGAGGGCGGTGGGAGGTGGAGGGAGCTGCAGAGGGAGGTGGGATGCAAGGATGGGTGGGAGAAGGGGTGGGGGAAGGGGAGAGGCACGAGGGGACGTCCATGATTCGCAGGATGGTCTGTCGGGACCTGTAGGGGAGGCAGCTGCGGGGCGCAGCGTGACGCACGACATGCGGGTTGCCACCCTCTTGGCGGTTGGGGACGCAACGGATTGCTACGCTGCTCGGAAACGTTTATGGGTGCCGTCCCCTACAGGTATGCCTACTTGGGAGAGGACTGCCGAGCATGGGATGGTCGGGCAGGTGTGGTGTACAGCTCGACACATGGGATAGGTGAAGACAATGCTAAGATAAACAGGAGTAACCAGGTTTCATGCCCATCGGCGATGGGCACGCATTCAATGCGTTCCATGCGCGTCGGCCGCACGCAAGTTGCGCAACACGCACCGCGGAAGTAGGCACCAACACCGCCATTTCCAGAACCAGCTGCTTTAGTCCCAGCGGTTGTCGAGATACGCCGCAAGAGGAAGCCCAGCTGGCTCCCGCCCTGAGGCAGGAGCCTCATGCTTGCCGAGGAGCCCGGAACACCGCCTTACAAACTATGCGCTGTTACACACTCAGTTGTACTGTCGCGGCTGCTGTCTAGGCCGTACCGCCCCAATCGCCAAGTGGAAGCTTCCAATCAGGACTAAAGTGTTGCACAAAGGCACAGCCTATTCTGGCTAAACAGGCACAAAATTATATTGCAGTTACCACAACGTTGTTGGCCAACCTGGGAGCAACGACAATGCGTCTGGATCCGGCAATTCAAGGCGTTGCACGCAATCCATACCACTGCATCAGAGCGGATTTACGGCTACACTGGCCACACGCATAACATTACACACACCTATGTGTATTTCTTGCTTGTTATCGTAAACCGAAGTGCTCAATGGTTTCTTTGCCCTACCCTATGACAGCTCACTATTCTTGTTCGTAGCCAACTGGTTGCTTGTGTCATGTTGCCCCAAATATATAACTTCTTCGAAGTATAGAGCACAACGCAATAGTCATGGACTTCAGCGAATCCTATCGCTGCTCGGGTCCGCCACCAAAGTTCTCGCCAGATGGACGCTTCGTGGCGACCGTGGTGGAGTACCGCCTCATCATTCGCGAAGTAGAGAGCCTCAGAGTCGTACAGCTGTATTCCTGCCTGGACCGCATTGACAGGTGAGGCGCGGCAGTGGGGGCGCTGTCGTGGTTGGTTGTCGTTGGGTTCCGGTATGCGGTTGGTTAGCCGCTCTGCGACCTGCTACTCATAGCACGGAGCGCAACAATCCAGGAATCGGGGCAAAGGGTTGTTCCCCACCGCGATCCGGGCCCTTTGTGCGCGTGTGTATCCCACCATACCACAGCACCACCACCCGTCCCCTCCCTGCCGTGCTTGTATCTCCCTGCTGTGCTCCTTCCCATGCCCTTTCCTACCTTTGCTACCTCCACCGCAGCATCGAGTGGTCCAGCAACTCGCTGTACGTCATGTGCGCCCTCTTCACACGCGGCATCCTGCAGGTGGGTGCGCTGGGCACACGTTGGACCCCCTCCCCCCTCCCCTCCTCCTCCTCCCTCCATCCCTCCTCCTCCAATACCCCTTCCTCCGCCCCTTCCACTCCCCATCACCCCCCTATTCTCATCAAACAGATTCCGCACTCCTCTCCCCCCACCCCCGCCCCGAGCCCCAGGTCTGGTCCGTGGAGAGCTCCGAGTGGAGTTGCAAGATCGATGAGGGACCCGCGGGTCTGCAGGCGGCGCGCTGGGCCCCCGACGGCGCCTGCGTGCTGGCGGTGGCGGCCCACTGCGTGCGGGCCGCGGTGTGGTCGCTGCGGGAGCGCAGCTGCACCTACCTGCGCGGACCCAAGCACGCGGACCGGGGCATTGCGTTCAGTGAGGGCGGGCAACACCTGGCGGTGCTGGAGGTGGGGAGGGGGGCGGAGCGGGGGGAGCGGGGGGGGGGGGTTACCGGCAGGGCTAAGAGATACTGGAGAACATGTGTGTAGTTGGATATAGGCTTGGAGGGTTGGTACCGGGGGTTGGGTGAACGGCGGAGGACGCCAGCAGCATGCCCGAGGGTGGCATCCTGGCATGTAAACCCCTCCCGCCCTCCCTCCCACCCACCCACCCACCCCCATCGCAGCGCTCCGAGCTCAAGGACTGGGTAGCGGTGTACGACACGCACTCCTGGGCCCTCGCCGCTCGCTTCCAGGTGGACACGGCGGACGCGGCGGACCTGGCCTGGTCGCCCGAGGGGGGGCTGCTGGCGGTGTGGGACAGCTGCCTGACGTACAAGGTGGGGGGGCGGTGGGGGGGGGGGTGCATGGGAGGGCGGGGACGTGGCTGGGGGATGCAGGGGAGGGAGGGAGATGGCGGTGTTGTGCGGTCGCTTAAAGGGGAGGATGCGGCTCGATGGGGTCGCGCACAGGACTGCCTGACCTGACCTCGCTCTTTGGCACCGTTCCTTGTTGAGACAAGCCAGACACCATTCCTCACAGCGCGCACCTCCTAAGGCCCCGATCGCAATCAACTGACCAACAGGTGGTGCTGGTTAACGCGAGCACCGGGGCGGTGGTGGGCTCCTACTCGGCATACAGCCACGATGCACTAGGGATAAAGGTACGGCGCATGCGGGTGTGGGGGCCTAATACACGCATGTACTGGTGTGTGTGGCGTGTGGGCAGCGGGTCGCATGCTGAGTTGCTAGCACCCCCCACCCTCCCTCCCGCCGCCCTCTTCCCTATCCTCCCCCCGCCCGGCCCCCCCCGCCCCCCCCAGTGTTGCTCCTGGAGTCCCCGCGGCGAGCTGCTCGCGGTGGGCTCCTTCGACCGCACCGCCCGCCTGCTGAACCACGTCACCTGGCAGCCGCTGCTGCAGGCGGAGCACCCGCAGCAGCTGGCGGCGCCGGCGGGGGTGGTGGTGTACCGGGAGGTGGGGGGGGAAGGGGGCGGGGGGGGGGGTAGGCAGGGGGATCAGAGGGGCGAAGGACATGCATGGGGGTCTTCCTCTAAGCCATGCGATGCAGGCCTCATCTCCCTGTTGTCGTCGCGCCGTGTCGTCCTGACGGGGGGCCGGGTGGTGCCGGTATGTCCCCGCCCCTGCCGCCAGCCTTCTGTCCTGGTTGACCCCCCTGCCACCCCCCCTGGCCCCCCGCAGGAGCCCGATGAGGCCCCCGCCTCCGCCCCCCGGCCCCCGGACCCCTCCGCCCGCTCCAAGTACGTGATCGCCCCGCTGCCCGCGCCCGTGCCCTTCATCAAGCCGCCGCTAGACGCGCCCGCACCCGTCAAGATGGGAGTAGGTGGGTGGCGGCAGCAGTAGGGTATACAAGGGACGACGCTCACCCTTCATGCCATATGCCTTAACCCCGCATGCGCCATCAAACTTCATGCGTGTGTTGGACGCGTTGACATGTGGTGTTAAAATAACTGGCCGCGAGGCGAAATGACATGTGGTGTGTGCACTCCTGTCAGCGGACCGTATCATGTACGTTTTCAGCACCTCTGGCTTTCCCCCCGGTTCCCTACCCAATCCCTCCCCCGCCCGCCCCACCTGCTGCACATATCGCCCCCCCACCCACATTGTTTTATGGCACCCTACCGCTTCCTAACGATGGTTTTGTCCCAATTTGTGGGTTCTCTATGGTTCGGTATGATCTTTAACCCTCTCCCCCCCAGGCCGGTGTTTGTGGAGTGGCGACGGGCGCTACCTGGCCACGGTGGAGGACAGCACCGCCCCGGGCGTGTGGGTGTGGGACGTGGGCGCCATGGAGCTGGGGGCGCTGCTGCTGCACCTGGCGCCCGTGACGGACCTGGCGTGGGGGCCCAGGGTGCGGGGGGGAAGGGAGGGAGGAGGAGAGCTGGGATGGGACAGAGGGAGGAGAACGCGGGATGCGGTGTGGGACGGGGTCAGGTTGTAGTGGGGGAGCCAAGGATGGGATCTGAAGATCTGGGCTTGGGGTGGGTTGACAGTGGGCTGTGCGCCCTCTTCTTGTTTCTTCACATGCCATGCAAGCGGGCTGTGCACATATCTGTCATGACGGCTGTTCGTGGTGGGGTGCGGAGCCGCTACACTCCCCCGGCTGTGCTGCTCTACCACCACCCCGCCCCCCGCAATTGCTTGCCCTAACCTGTGGTTTCCTATGGTTTGGTACCTGGTCTTTGATCCCCCGCCCCGGTGCGGTGCTGTGCGGTGCAGGGCGCCACGTTGGCCATCGTTGCTGGCGGCTCCAAGGTGCACCTGTGGACCCCCGCGGGGGCGTCCATCGTGCACATTCCGCTGCCCAACTTCCAGGTAGGCGAGGGCTGTGGGTGATTCGTGGTTGTGGATAACTGTAGGAGGAATGGGTTTCATCCCCTGGTATTTCTCCCTATTGCGATCGTTGGCTTACTTTCTTCACCGCCCAGGACCAGTGCACAGCCCCTGCCAAGCACCCATACAGTCCATCATTCATTGTACAAGGGCACACCCCTTCCCGCAGTCCTCGACTTGACTCTCCATCCACACTGCTCTGCATGTAACTAGCGTGCCACACCATCGCTGTTGTGTGCTCCGTCGCCCCTGCCCTTACCCCCCTCCTCCCCCGTCTTCCAAAGGCTTACGGCTGCAGCTGGAACCACACCGCCACCACGCTGCTGCTCCGGGGACCCGACTCCTTCTGCTGCGCCTACCTAACTGCGTGACCGCTTCTGGTCCGGCGGGGGCCGTTGGGGACCAAGTAGCCATGCGGTGCCGGTTGTGGGTTGTTTGGAAGGCCTTGAGACGTTGGCAGGGGGTTGCGCAGCTGAATGCTGGTTGTGCGGCCCGTTATAGTGGGTGTGGTGTTGATTTTGATGCATGGGAGAGGGGAGCACGGGTGCTGGTATTGATGTCGGTGCTGCTGTCACTGCTGCGCTGGTGAGGGGCGCGTTTGGGGACGAGGAATGGGTTTCGGTTGAACAATGGTCCAACGGGCCAAACAGTACTTCGGTACTCACCTGCCGACCTTCTGTGCTTAACAGCTCCGAAGCTGTCGCGGTGCCGGGCGCCAGCCCACATCCTGCATGATGCCTAGGATGATGCAGCCAGCTGGCCCCACATGCTGCACGACACGCCTGGCCCCGCCTCTGAAGCGTGATGTCGTACTCCACATCCACTTGCGTTGGGAGCTACGAAACCGTCATCGGGCCCAGCGAAAGGAATTGAGGATGTAAGTCGTCCTTCACATGTTGTCCCTCGCCCTCCCGAGAGGGGCCATTGGGTTGCACAAAAATGGACAGGTAAAGCCTCGCCGATGACCAGGGTCAGCACAGAGCAACCTGGTCTACACAGGCTTCGCGTTTGAAAACCATACTTACAAGCCTGTGGGCAGTTTTCTTTGGAAATCCATCTGCCTGAACAAACGTGAACCTGCATGCCATGCGGCCGCGCGGGCTTGAGGGAAGAGCGCTGATGTGCAAACAAGGAGGCCAGGCCTCTGAGGCCAGCTGGTTGGACAGATTGGAGCGGCAAATTGCCTTGCACCGCCGTTCTACGGAAGACTCGTCGATGGTGGTGGGAGCCGCAAAAAGGCACGTGTTATGACGCGAAACGGGAGGGTTGCATCCTGCATTCCAGCCTGGAATTTATGATAAATATTCATTTTTCATGCATTTTTAGGGCGCGCACACTACAGTTGGCAAACCGCTGGCTCTGGTATGTGCGACGTACATTCCCGAAACGGTCCCGAAACATGTGCAAGGCAAAAGCATTTCCTTTCAATACCCGTGTTCCCTTTTAGGGCACCATTGTAACGGTCATTCATTCAGTCATTCAATACCAATACCGATGCCGCAAATGCTTTCGATGGAGGGCGAAGATGCGCAACTCACCAAGCTGGTCACGGACGCGAGCAAACTCTTCGCCCAGCAGGGCAGCGGTGAGCGCACCATTGCATGAAAGATAAATATTTATCGTAAATTCCAGGCTAGAGTGCAGGTACCCTCCCGTTTCGCGTCATAACACGTGCCTTTTTGCGGCTCCCACCACCACTCCAGCACCTTGCATTCCTGCTGTCAAGCGAGCTCAGGGTCAGCTTAGCCTTGAGACAGCGTCCTCATAACATTCCCTTGGATTTTAGCATGTCGCTGCTGCAGCATCGCCGCTGCGCGCAAGGAGGACAGGCGTATGACCCATGGGTCACTTGCTCGCAGGCCACGACAAGGACTGTGGAACCCGAGCCCGCATCTTAGAGGACTACCTTGCGAGCATCCGCAAGGAAATCCATCTTACCGTCGGCATAGTCGGCCGCACCGGCGTGGGTGAGTTGCTTAGGCCAGCAGATGGGTGCGGCATACCGCACTGTTTCTCCAAACAGGTCGCCCCAGATGCCTACAGCCAGCGCTCATACTCCTCACTAGCGGACGTGTTTCGTAGGCAAGTCGAGCCTGATCAACTCACTGCTGGGCTGCGAGGTGCTGCCAACCAATGCCATGCGGGCGTGCAGTGCGGCCCCCGCTGTCATGTCGTACAGTGATGGCGAGCTGATGTACGTCACCGCTGAGGTGATGTCGGAGGTGCGTGAGCAGCTGGGACGAGGCGGAAGTCCTCAACAGCGGTAGTCTGCCGCGGAAGGAGGATGCCCTTCCTGTAGGATGGAAGGTAGCTGTACAACGGATTTCCATGCATGTGTGGCGTGTGTTTGCTCATAGTCCTCATCACCAGCGCGCGCCAAAGCGTTCTACAACCGCACGTTACATTTATCTTCGTGTTTCGGATCCTGTTGTATATATGCCGTACGGCACAGGACGAGCTGTACGACGAGGCCATTGAGTGGCTCCGCATGTGCACCAACGGCGGCGGCAACGAGCAGGAATACGACACGGATAAGGCGGCAGCCAAGGTGAGACCTGCTGGCTTGCTTGGATCGCGACACACGTCGAAACGTCAAAGGCGCCGCTTAGAAGTGGCAGCACTGCGGAAACGTCCGGCGCGAGCGATACATAGGGGAAGCGTCAGGTCGCACCTAACTAACTAATGTAAATTACTTTGTCCTGCTACCTGCAGGACAAGCTGCACAACGTGTTTGGGCGGGAGGTGGTGGGGGGGCTGCTGGCAGCGACGAGTGATGGGAAGCGGCCGCCGCCGTGTGAGGTGCTGCGGACGCTGCCGCGCAACGCCGTTATATCGCTCCTGGGAAAGCAGGAGAAGATCCCCTGCAGGGACGAGGAGGAGCTCAGGTGGGTTGGTGCCACGGTAGTGGAGCCGCCGGTGCTACCACTGCAACGTGTGTTAGGGACGCCAGCATCAGCGCCAATGGTGGTGTGCAAGGTCCCGTCGGGGTTAAGTAAGCAAGCATGTGCGATGTCGGTACGGCGCATGCATCAAACCAGCTAACACCCTTCGCCTCTACTACTTGCAACCGGCTACACGGAGTTTCTGGCTACCGTACTAAACGTGTTTCGTCCGACGCGCCCCGCCACTCCACAACAGGGAGAAGCTCTGCTGGTTCCTGGATGCCCGGGCCTACCAGGAGCCGCGGGAGGGCGAGGAGGAGTGTCTGGCCGCCTGGCCGGTGGTGAAGAGCGTACACATATCGGGCCCCTTTGAGGTGCGTCTCCCATGTGTTTTAGGATTGCTTGCTGAAGCGTTACGGTACCGTAGTATAACAATGAGTTGCCTCGTAATGGAGCGATCTCTCACTCGCACAGTTAACAAAGGACATTTATTTTGTTAAGGGACGCCAAGACGCTATCCGTCACCCGTCACTCACGCTACCATGGCGCGCTCCCTGCCCGCCCCTGCACAGCCACCGGCCTTCACCGCCTCCCTGACCCGCCTCCCGCCCCTCCCGCTCCTCCACGCCTCTCTGCTGCTGCTGCTGCTGTCAGGTGTTACGGGGCGGTGTGGCCCTCATCGACCTGCCTGGCATCGATGACATCAACGGCGGCCGCTGCTCCGTGACGGAGAGCTACCTGGGCCGCCTGGATGCCCTGTGGGTCGCGGTGGACGCCGCGAGAGCTGGAGACAGGAAAACGGACATGGTGGGGGGTCGGGCTGGGGCTGGGGTATGAGCGCAAGGGTTCAAGGCAAATGGGTGCGTAGATTTGGTGGTCTTCTGCTGTGATGGAAATCCCATGATAGGAGGGCAAACAAGGCGGGGTGCATTACGGTATGTTGCTAAGCGTTTTTAGGCAGCGGCGGAAGCGGAAGCCCATACATCCTTGCCCGGCGGTCCTTGTCCTATGTTAATAGCACCGACCCATGGGTCTGCCCCGCCTGTTCCGCAGAACCTGACCAACTCCAGCATGTGGAGCAAGCTGGCATCGAGCAGCCGGATGGACACCGTGGGCTTTGTGGTGACGCAGACGGACTATAGGGTGAGAGAGAGGGTGGCTGCTCAGGATAGAACCCTACCCGTTAGACGCGTGCTAGATGCTTCCATGCGGCGCAGTTGCATGTACGGCATTGCTATCGTCACATGCCATGTCTTCGCCACCAAACTCCAGAGATGCTTTGCCAGGCACCTGCAAGCTGCAAATGCTGGTTTCGACCCCTCATCGCCTTCTTTACCGCGTATCGCGTTCACCCACACGCCCAGCAGTATCCCCTGCCCTGACCATTGTGCTTTAAACCCTCCCTCCACTCACTCTGGTGCGGTCTGGATGTACGGCAGTGCGCGCATCCCTCACCCCTCACCCCTGCTCACCCGCACCTGCCCCCATGCAAGCCAGGCACACGACGCCTTCCAGAACCTGGGGCTCCGGGAGGTGGGAAGCCTGACGGGCAGCTCACCCGAGGAGCTGGGGCGGCTGCAGGCCGACATTCGCCGGCTGGAGGGGGAGGTCAGCAGGGCCGCGAGGGAGAGAGAGGCGGCCTGGGGGCAGGTGAGCGGGCTGGGGAGCAGAGGAGCAGGGTTGCGCGGCGATGGCGATGGAGGGAAGCTGGGAGGTTGGAAATGCAGGGCCAAGGATTGAGAGCGCGTGTGGGGTAAAAGTGGGGACTAGGAAAGGATTTAGGCACGAGAGCAGGAGGTGGAGGGCAGGTGCCGGGGCGGTTCCAGCCGGGATGAGGCCGCGTCTGTACATCGCGCGGAGCCTGCTGTGATGTGCTGGCTGTATGCCTGAATGCCGCGCTAAGTCCTGCAGCTACGGAATCCACGTGACCTATCGCAAACCAGCAGCCCGCTATCTCCGGCATTGCCTCCTCAACGACTGCCTGAGCCGTGCGCTGACCTGCTGCTGTGTGTCGTACCGGTTCCAATTCCCCGTTGTGAACACAGTTGCGTGAGGCGAGCGACAGCGAGGAGGGCCTGGCGGACACCATCCAGATGTTCCTCAGTGCGGACACAGACGTTGAGGTGGAGGCGGAGGTAGAGGCGGAGGCGGAAGCGGAGGCGGAAGCGGAGGCGGAGGCGGAAAGCCACGCAGAGGACATTGAAGACGTGGGGCACCACGTGGGCGGCCCTGCCAGCAGGTATGTGTGTGGGGGGGGATACTGGCTGCGGTCCCCTGGCCCGTTGGGACAATCTGCAGTTGCATAGGGAGGGGTCCACTGCTTTGATGCATGCAAGGCAAGGAGGAGGAGGAGGGGGGGACGGAATGCAGGGGACGGAATGAGGCGAACCAGAGCTCATCCGCTGCTGTCCCTCTCGGGCTCCCTCCACCTCCTGGCTGGCTGGCAGGCGCACGGGCCCCGCACTGGACGGCATTCTGGCTACAGCTCGGGAGCTGGAGGCGAGGTCGGCGCAGGCAAAGTGCGTTGGGGAGCTGATGCCTGGGGACGCAGGGCGATGTTGCTTGCTTGGAGGAGGCGGGGGAGGCGGCGGCAACCTTGGGAGCTTGAACTGTAGAACTGGGCCGCCATGCAGACCAGTGTACGACATGGGAGTTCGGTTTGTGTCCTGCATGCTTTTCCATGCCGTGTAAGCGAGCAGTTGAATGGAGGTATGCGGCACCTACCGACCTTGCCCGCATGCTCCTCCTCCTCCTCCTCCTCCTCCTCCTCTCCTCGTCTCTCTTCCTCCGCAGGGCCGCGGTGACGGCGGCCAGGCTGCGTCACGAGGCGGCAGCGGGGTGCTGTGCGCTGCTGCAGGGGCAGCTCCTGGAGTGCCAGCAGCGCCGTGCGGAGCTGGGCGCACGGGCCCGCGACGCCTACATCCGTGGCAAGCTGGAGGCGTGTTTCA